GATCCCCTTTATTGTCCTCCTGGAGCAGCTGAAAGCTAGCATCTCCTCCTCGCCCTCCCACCAGCATACAGCTGCTGCAGGAGGAAAATCCAGCAGATCGGTTCTAGCAAACACCTCCCATCCTTGTTCCTTCTTTATTCTGCTGCCTGGCCCCTCCCCAAGTACTCCACTTTCAACAGGGCTTCTAAAAAAAAAATGTGAAAAATATTAAAATGTAAAAATAAAAACTACTGACACCAACGTCTGCCCTAATGACACTGTCCACCGCTCTACTGACACCATCCACTGCTCTACTGACTGACACCAACCTCTGCTCTACTGACACCATCCACTGCTCTACTGACTGACACCAACCTCTGCTCTACTGACACCATCCACTGCTCTACTGACTGACACCAACCTCTGCTCTACTGACACCATCCACTGCTCTACTGACTGACACCAACCTGCTGCTCTACTGACACACCATCCACTGCTCTACTGACTGACACCACAACCTCTGCTCTACTGACACCATCCATGCCCTGCTGACTGACACCATCCATTGCCCTCCTGATTGATACTGTCCATTTTTAAGGTAGGCTAAGTTTGTATTTTTACAGTGGCATTTGTTTTATTATATTTTTCTACAGTTTCCTTGCTATTTAGTTAGACATTGCTAGTTATTTTATTTTTTAAATGGTGCTGAACCCCGATGATCTTTGATCTCTTTCATGTTGTTTAAGTAGATCCCCACCTCTCAAAGGTTGCCTACCCCTGTTCTAGGGCTATCTGTACTGTCCAGGGGCGGACTGACAACTCATGGGGCCCCCGGGCAATAGGGGATCATGGGGCCCCTGTGTCCTTGCCCAAACTCAAAAAGCCAATGAAAAAGGTACCAAGGGCCCCCTACTGACCCCGGGCCCTTGGGCAGTGCCCGAGTTTCCAAATGGTCAGTCCACCCCCTGGTACTGTCCTGGAATATTAACTGCCTCAAGAAATTTGATAGGCTGTCAGTACATCAGGAATGATCAATTTGCAAATAAATATACTGTACCATAGTTTGTAGGCACTATGACTTTCACACAAACTAAATAATATACACTGATTTGAGTTATGTTTACCAAAGAAATTTAGTAGATTAGATTTTGGCCTAAATTTATGAAGGAATTTGATTTTTGGATGTTTATTATAACAGAAAGTAAGAAATATAGTTTTTTTTTTTTAAATGTTCAGGCTATTTTGTTTATATAGTAGAAAATAAAAAAAAAAACAGTGTTGATAAAATACCACCAAAAGAAAGCTCTATTTCTTTGAAAAAATAATATAAATTTAATTTGAGTATAGTGTTACATGAACAAGAAATTACTAGTTAAAATAGCACAGTGCTGAATAGCAAAAAAATGTTCTGGTCATGAAGGGGTTAAAACCTTCAGGAAGTCAAGTGCTTAACCTCTTGCCCTCCTGAGGATTTACCCCCCTTTAATGACCAGGCCTCTTTTTGCTACTCGGCGCTGCACTAATTCAACTGATAATTGCGCGGTCATGCAATGCTGCACCTAAACAAAATTTACGTCCTTTTTTTCACACAAATAGAGCTTTCTTTGGTGGTATTTGATCACCTGTGCGCTTTTTATTTTTCACGCTATAAACAAAAAAAGGCCAAAAATTTTGAAGAAAAACAATATTTTTTACTTTCAGCTATAAAAAATATATAGTAAACTCAAAGTTGGTTATAAATTTAGGCCAAAATGTATTCTGCTCCATGTTTTTGGTAAAAAAAAATCCCAATAAGTGTATATTGATTGCTTTGTGTGGAAGTTATAGCGTCTACAAACTATGGTATAGATACTGCAATTTACGTCATTTTTCTGCTATACAGCGCTGCGCTAGTTTAACGGACAATTGCGCGGTCATGCAATACGGTACATAAATGAAATTTACCTCCTTTTTTTCCCCACAAATTGAGCTTTCTTTTGGTGGTATTTGATCACCTGTGCAGGGGTGGGTTGTTTTTTGGTGTGTTGCAATCAAAAAACCCAATACGTGTAAATTAATTGGTTTACGTGAAAGTTATAGCGTTTACAAATGGCGGGAAAGATACTGGGATTTTTAGTTTTTTTTTATACTAATAATGGCGGCAATCAGCGACTTATGGCAGCGATCAGTGACTTATGGCAGCGATCAGTGACTTATGGCAGGACTGCGGCGAACATTCTGACATTGGGGGGGTACTGACTTGGGGTCACTGACATCCCCAGTGACACTAATACAGTGATCAGTGCAAAAAAAAAAACACTGCCACTGTACTAATGGCACTGGGGAGGAAGGGGATTAACTTTATTTTGCAGGGAAGGGTTATCTGTGTGAGGGGAGTGTTTTACTAGGGGGCGGGGGTGTGTACTGCAGGGGACACAGCTGATCGGGACAGAGAAACTCTTCTTTTTCGATCAGCTCGTCCTCGAGCTGTCAGGGAAGTGACTGCAGCTGTGCTGTCTGTCACTGTTTGCCGCGGATCGCCGGGAACAGTTGCTAAGGACCGGCTGTGACCTGGCGACTGACATCCGCGGCGGTGATCTGCGGGACAGATAAGGCGACGGCGCGCCTCGCGCACGCCCCCTATCTGTTTACAAAACACACGTTTTAAAACGTGGTTTTGCCTGCCCATGCCGCCCTGCCCCGTATTTCTACAGTGGCAGGGCGGCAAGTGCTTAAAAACTGAGTCTAGTCACAATCATTGTTACTATGCAAGCATGTCGTACATCAGCTACTCTGAACATATTTTTAAAATACATTTTCATGCTTGCCTGTAACTGGGCAGTTCAAGATTCAGAAAACATTGACACAAGCTGTATATAACTGCAGGATGCAAATGTATGTATAAAAAGATACTGAAAGTTCAGATATACAAACTTCTATGTTTATTTGTGTGCCTAATAAAATATTTACAGCAAGTAAACAGCTTAAGGCCCATGTACACGGGACACTTCTGAACGATGGAAACTGACTGCTGGAAAATGTAGGTTAAAAAATGTCTGTTTAGCATATGCGTTTGCATATCGCATTTATGCGCGTTTGTGTTTAGAAGCGTTTTTTAAAGATAAGCACAGGAGAACCTCCCAAATGCCCAGAATGCACTGAAAAGTGGTCAATTATATTAACTATTTCAGACTGTTTCAAAGAAATACAGAGAGTAGAAGCAGAGACAGCAGTATGTGTTGAGATTAGCTTAGGTGTGAGTTGCTCATTAACATTTTGTTTCCAAGCAGGGGTGGACTGACAACTCATGGGGCCCCCGGGCAATAGGAGATCATGGGGCCCCTGTGTCCTTGGCCGAACTCAAAAAAGCCTATGAAAAAGGTACCAAGGGCATCTCATGGGGCCCCCTACTGACCCCGGGCCCTCTGGCAGTGCCCGAGTTTCCAAATGGTCAGTCCCCCCCTGTTTCCAAGGGTGGGAAAGGTGTCTGGTTTGAGTGAGTCATTAAGGCCACCTGGCAGGGGGTCTGCATGAGGAATTTAAGGCGTGAATGGTCATTAACATATCTTTTGTTTCCAAGGGTGGGAGAGGTCTGAGGTGTGAATTGGCATTTCAATGTGTGACAAGCTTGGTAGGAACATCCTGTGTTCAGTGTTTTGTCCATTTGAGTACCTTGAAAACGCTTTGCATGCATTTTTCATGATGAAAAAAGGCTCTGGACAGCATCAGGAACTGGAAGAGTTAAAAAAAAATGTTAAACCGCAAACGCTTATAAATGCGATTTGCCACATTTACAAGCATTTTGCGTTTGAAACGCTGATAAAAACGACTGCTGAACGCAAGTTTTCTGTGTTCAAAAAAAGGACTGTAAACTCAAATGCCTGTAAATGACTGTAAACGACGATGTGTACATGGACACATAGAAAAACATTAGGGGGAGTTCAGGGGCTGCTGAAAAAAAAACGCTGAACAGCTCCTAAACGTGAGTTTATCAGCTGCAGTGTACATGAGCCCTAACTCAGCTGACTGACTCACATGGCTCCAGGAGTATTTTCTGGCCAGTGGAATGACAGAGTCCCTGAACTGGATTGCTTTGCTATGTGCTGTTGTGGTCTGGATGACGGCTCTCAGTGGACAAAGTTCATGTTAGAGGGACTTTACTCCTTATGACATGTGACTTGTTGTTTCTATCAATAAGGCCACTTTCACACTGATCCATTTTCTTCTGCTTTTGCGTTAAAAAAAAAGCAAAAGAAAAACGTGTGACCATGTATTCCTATAGAACTCCTCACACTGATCCTTGTCTGGTCCAGTCCATTTTTTGAAATCCTGCTTGCTGAATTTTTGCTGTAGGTTTTGTGCATTATAAAAAAAGCACCAAAAATGCACTTCCCCATTGAAATCAATAGAAAATGCGGCAAAAACCCATCAAAATCGCACCCGCATTGTGTTTCTGGTGCAGTTTTGGAGTCATATGTCCAGTAAAAAAAAAAAACACAGAAAATGCAGTAAAAATGCATATGTGTTTTTGCAGTGGATCAGTGTGAAAGTAGCCAATATGTGAGTTTTATACTGCCCTCTGCCCTTCCTTTTTGTTGCTTTAGAGCAGGGGTCTCCAGACATTTTAAACAAAGGGCCAGTTTACTATTCTTCAAACTGTAGTAGGGCCGGATTGTGGCCAGCAGGAGTAGAACATGTCCAGGCATCAGTTGGAGTAAACAATGTCCCATCTTTGGTGTCATTGGGAGGAATAGTGCCCTATCATTGGTGTCAAAGAAAACAATTGTGCCCCATCATTGATGTCATTAGGAGGAATTTGTGTCCTACCGTTTGTGTGTCAGTGGGCAGAATAGTATCCCAGTGCTGGTGTCAATGATAGGATTTTATGCCCTGTTGTTGGTGTAGCATATGGAGTAGTGCCCCAAAGGCCAGATAAAGTTGGGCAAAGGGCCACATCTGGCCCCTGGACTGCAGTTTGGTACCCGCTTTCAGCACCAAAAATCGGAAATAATCATACCGCCAGGGAGGTTAAGAAGACTTACCACAATTAGCAAACCTGCTGAGAGGAGCAGATGGTTCTTTAGGTCGCATTGTGTCTGTCCCTCAGCAAACTAGACAAAAAAAAATACAAAAAATAAAAAGGGTAAATAAGAGGACAAGATTGGAGACAGATTACAGTATATTATGAAAAAGCAAGCATAGGCAACAGGAAAAATCAGCTGGGCCAATCTACACTTGCCTTGAGATCAAATTGTTAGAGAACTCTGATGGAGTTGTAGAGGGCTCATAATTGATTACCTTAGGCATACCTCCCAACTGTCCCTGATTTTGAGGAACTGTCCCTCATTTGGAACAAAGTCCCTCTATCCATCTTTCCTTCTCATTTGTCCCTCATTTTGGTCTAATCTATATAGTTGTATATAAAATGCACTATGTACATATCAAAAAGTATTTTACAATGCTAAACCTTTTATCCAGTTTCTAAAGTGCTGCATTTGGATATTGCCAAAGCCAATATAAAGCTATAGCAGCGGTCAAAAAACTACGTGTGGGTTAGGTGTAATTCTCCTTTAAGGGGGGGGGGGGGATGTCCTATGGCTACATATGGTTGCTAATAGTTGTCCCTCATTCCCATCTCAGAAAGTTGGGAGGTATGCCTTAGGTCTGTGTGAACCTTTAAGCTGATGCGATTTTCTTTCCTGCAACCAGGAAAAAAAATCTATTGATTCCCCCATCAACAACATCAGTGTTGATGGGGTAATCCCTCCCATGGAGCTATGGTGTGGGGGTGGGACGGACACAGGGGGAGCTGTCCCTGCCGAGAGTATTCACTGATTATTGCTATCAGTTAAAGCTACCGGCAATAAAAGCATGAAGAATCAAACAGGCTGATTGTACCAAAATCATACAACAATCGATTGGTACAATGATTCTGTCCATAGATGGGCAGTTCAGCAGAGACCAGGGGCGGACTGACCATTTGGAAACTTGGGCACTGCCTGAGGGCCCGGGGTCAGTAGGGGGCCCCATGAGATGCCCCTGGTACTTTTTCATAGGCTTTTTTGAGTTTGGGCAAGGACACAGGGGCCCCATGATCCCCTATTGCCCGGGGGCCCCATGAGTTGTCAGTCTGCCCCTGGCAGAGACCATCCGAGAATTCGAACCATCTGTGGCCTGCTTTAAGGTGGCTACAGATAGACAAACAGATACAGGATCTCTTTAAAAAATAACAGCCAGGAAAATATCCTCCTGTCCTTCTACAACCTTATGGAGTGTCAGGATCCAGTGCGATAATCTGGTAGCAGCACACATATGGTTCTCTAAAGTAAAAGATCTTGACCCATTGGGTTGGGAGATCCACATGTAGGTAACAAGTAACTGAAACTGCCATAAAAGTTCCTTACCACCTTCCACTCTAATGGTGGCCAAATACTATACAAAGAATTGCACAAAATGCAATTGATTGTAATATTTGTTCAAATTTCTAATAACTGGTGGGTGAAAAAATGATAATCTTTGAACTATGTAAGAAAATCTGCGCTAGTACAAAAAAAAAATTTGTGTAACATAGCAGCTTGCACAAAATTCTGATACAGAGATTTGTTTGAAATATTTCTCAAACAGTGCAGTGCTTAAATAAAACCATCTGCAAACCCAGCTATTATCTTTACAAATAGAAGATAATGGAAGAGAAGAGAAGCCTATGGAGAATAATAAAAAATAAAATATAAATTTATTTGCAGGCAAATATGAGAAACACATTCATTTCATCTTTACCACATGTGTTCCCCAAGTAGCGTAAATATTATTATTATTATTATTATTATACAGTATTTATAAAGCGCCAATAGTTCGCTCAGCGCTGTACATTACAAAGGGGGACAGAACATGTGACAGAAACAACAATACAATGCAAAACATGAGGGGATCGAGGGCCCTGCTCCTTGGAGCTTACAATCTAGGAGGGAGGGGATAGTGGTACAGGAGGAGATAGCTTTGGGGGATGGAGTGATAGGAAGAGTGGAGGAGGTCGGCAAGTTAGCGGGGGGTGGGGTAGGCTTCCCTGAAGAGATGGGTTTTCAGGGTGCGCCTAAAGGAGAGGAGAGTAGGTGATAATCTGATGGGTTGGGGCAGGGAGTTCCAGAGGATGGGTGACACCCTGGAGAAGTCCTGGAGGCGGGCATGGGAGGAGGAGACCAGGGAACTAGAGAGAAGGAGGTCTTGTGAGGAGCGGAAGTGTGCGTGTGTTGGGTGGTACTTGGATATTAGGTCAGTGATGTAGTTCAGAGCAGTATGGTGGACGGCTTTGTATGTCAGTGTTAGGATTTTGAATTTGATCCGTTGCGCAATCGGAAGCCAGTGGAGGGATTGGCAGAGGGGGGTGGCGGGAGATGGAGCGGTTGGAAAGGTGAATGAGTCTGGCAGCCGTATTCAGGATGGACTGAAGCGGGGATAGCCTGTGGCGAGGCAGGCCAGTGAGGAGGGAGTTGCAGTAGTCGAGTCGTGATATGATGAGGGAGTGGATGAGCTGTTTAGTGGTTTCTGGGGTTAGGAACGTGCGTATTTTGGCGATGTTGCGGAGGTGGAGTCTGCATGAGTTTGTTAAGGATTGGACTTGGGGCTGGAAGGATAGGTTGGAGTCCAGAATGACACCAAGTACTCTGGCCTGCGGGGCGGGTTTGATGGTGGCGTTGTTGGATGTGACGGAGAAGTCAATGGGGGGTGGTGTCCGGGCTGGGGGGAAGACAAGAAACTCGGTTTTGGAGAGGTTCAGTTTAAGGAAGTGGAGCGACATCCAGTCTGATATGTCGCGCTCAGTATTATTGTAAGATTGAAATTATTTGGGAGTGTAGCTGTTTTCTATGGAAAGACAAAGGTGAATGACACAAGGGAATGCCCCATCACAAGACCTCAGTGGTTCTCAAGCTTCCTCCTCCCAATGCCGTGACCCCTTTAATATAGTTCCTCCTTTTGTGGTGCACCCTGAAAACCCCCAACCATAAAATTATTTACCAAGTAATTATAATTCATGAAGTGTTGTTTTACCTCCAATACTGCTGCTTTCAGCACAGTAGCTGCTTTTAACAGAGGCTAGCTGCTTTCAACACACAGTAGCTGCTTTCTACACAGTAGCTGCTCTTTACACATCAGAAATAAGTGTTTTCTGATGGTCTTAGGCGACCCCTGTGAAAGGGTCGTTCGACCCCCAAAGGGGTCACGACCCACAGGTTTGAGAACCACTGCCATAGAGTATATTGGGAAGCAAAATTCGACTGATTCAGAACCATTAAACATATCACATAAATCCTTCGTAGACATACTCTCCAAATTCAGTGGTTAAATTTAAAATTGAGATTAAAAACAGGATTATCATTGCTTTCTATGGAATGACAGGGGCGAATGACAGAAGGGAATGCCAACATGTATAATGTGAAGCCAAATATGAATTTATTTGCAGACAAATCTGTGTCATGCAGCAATTTAACCTCTTCCACAGCTGTTCCTGAAGTAGAGTAGCAGTTTGTAAAATTTAAATGATTACAATCTGCAACAACACTTGGGGAACACCTGTGGGAAAGGTTAGTTTGCTATGATAGGATTTATGCCCTGTTGTTGGTGTCAGCATATGGAGTAGTGCCCCAAAGGCTGGATAAAGTTGGGCAAAGGGCCACATCTGGCCCCTGGAACTGCAGTATGGAGACCACTTCTTTAGAGTATCCTTCAGTCTCTTGAGGAATTTGAGTGTTGAAAGCCAATTGAGTTAACCCCTTATGTGCACACATGGACAGGGGTGGACTGACGATTTGGAAACTCGGGCACTGCCCGAAGGCCTGGGGTCAGTAGGAGGCCCCATGAGATGCCCCTGGTACCTTTTTCATAGGCTTTTTTGAGTTTCGGCAAGGACACAGGGGCCCCATGATCCCCTATTGCCCGGGAGCCCCTTGAGTTGCCAGTCCGCCCCTGTATGTGACACAGATTTGTCTGCAAATAAATTCATATTTAGCTTTCCATTATATTCGATGTGCATTCCCTTCTGTTATCCCCCTTTCTCATTCCATAAAAAGCAATGATAATCCCACTTAATCTCAATTCTAAACATCACCACTGAACGTGGAGAGTAATACCGGGCATAGACGGTTCGAAAATCCGCCGATTTTTCAGCCGAAAAAAAAAAAAATTGTCCGGTTTTCGCACTGTTAGTGGGTTAACTGGTCAGCCGTTTTTCGGGTTTTTTTGCACTTTGAGATTTTCGGTCATGTTGGAAAATTTGCGGCCGATTTGAACGATCAGCTGATTTTCCCGGCCAATGATGGCCAAATCGGCCGATCTTTTTAACGATAAAAAAATCGGCTCATGAGCAGTGACCTGCAAGGGACAGAAGTTATGGGGTGAACTTTATGATTTAGTCGGCTGATTTTTTTTAAACCGTTGGTGGGAACGTCGGCCGAACGAACGAACGGACGAACGTTTTTTCGTTTATTGTTCGAAAAATCAGCCGATGTTCGACCCATCTATGGCCTGCATATGTCTACTAAGGATTTATTTGGAATGTTGAATGGTTCTGACTCCAGGTCACATCTTGGTTCTCATTATACTTTAGGGGCATTCACCTTTGTCATTCCATAGAAAACAGATATAATCCCAAATGATTTCAATCCTACAATCCTCTACTCTACGTGAGGAACACCTGTGGGAAAGGATAAATTGCTGTTTCACAGATTTGTCTGCAAATGAGTTTATATTTTGCTTCCCATTATATTCTATGGGCATTCTTTTCTGTATTTCAATTCTGTCATTCCATAGAAAACAATAAACATTTTTCTTAATCTCAATTTTTAAAATTACCACTGAATTTGGAAAGTATGCCTTCTAAGGATTTATTTGGTATGTCTAATGCTTCTGATCTCAAGTCACATTTTACTTCCCATTATACTTTATGGGCATTCCTTTTTGTCATTCCATAGAAAACAGATATAATCACAAATAATTTCAATTACAATCTGCTACTCTACTTAGGGAACACCTGTGGTAAAGGTTCGTTTTCTATGTGACACAGATTTTTCTGTAAATAAATTCATATTTTGCTTTCC